ATGTCTAACCAGCTCGTTCCTCACATGTGAATGCGACACCATATCAAACGCTTTAAACAGATCAAGAAGGGCAACAGCCTGTGCTCTTCCTTTCTTTTTCGCATGTTCCATCAAGGATAACAATAGTTGGATATGCTCTACACAACCAGCTTAGTGAACCCACGCTGTCTAGGTTGTAGTGTGACTGCTTTTTGCAACCTGCTAGCGAGAACCTTCGTGTATAACCTTACTACGACTGACGCAATGGTGAGTTTGGGCCTACCATGTCTGCGGTACATGGTTCCCTGTAGCATTGTGCGGTCGAAAAGCCGGGAAATGAACTCTGGAGATTAGCTGTTGCGTACAATCAGTGAAGAGATTAATGCCAAGGGACACCTTACATGGCTGGTAGACAAATGGGGGCTTCCGGAGTGCGCTATAAACCTCAAGGGAAATTGGTTTCAAAATCTACGAGTTATTAATCAACTTGCTAGAAACAGGGTAACCAGTACGGTCACCCTCGAATCTCTTTGTAGGCAGCTTCTATGTCCCCAATAGGTAATGGACATGAAGTATCGTGTTTCCCATCGAGGATTTCCGCCACTAACTTAGATCAATTATATGCCCAGAGTCGTTGCTCCCTTTGAAATTCTGCTGCTTTCCCCTGAGATCGGCCCCGCACAGTTTTCCTCTGCCTGACATTTGGACTTTTCTTCCTTTGTTTTTCTGCCCTGTTCGTCATTCGTCCTAGCTGAACAATCATGTCATCATAATCCCCAACAGAGGTATGTCCAGCTAAACAATCGTGCAGCAGAGCTACAGCGTGGTTGCCATGTGGGTAGTCAGACATCATGTCTTTAACCTTCTCATAGTAAATTCGGAATTGCTCCCGTCTTTGATCGTCAGTTATCACTCTTGGAGTTTCCTCGATATCTCCTTTGCCCACTTGGGGTTCTGGTGAGCTATCCATGGCCAGGCTAAAATCAACATCCGTAAATACTTGCCAGCCCTGACCAAAACCTGCCTGCCCACTATAATAATATGTTTCTCAGGATAAGCTAACGGGGTTTCTTTTTGGTTACATTTTATCATTCATCTTTACATGTGAATTAATGCTAATCATCGGGAAATATTTTGAATATTTTCACATATGAAATATAACCCGACCGTCGGGCAGGGGGATTTGAAAATCTGTCAGACCGAGTTGAAATCAACCTGTCTCGGACGGTCGGGCAGGCAGGTATTTCGAACACTGCTCTTCCTTAAGGATGCACGTTTACTGCTTGTTTCGCTGTTCTACCATGGAGTTTTTTAGCAATTAGTGTTAATCTGCTTGCACCCCAGGTAGACTCACTCATACTTGTCCAGTATCATGACGAACTTGTTTTCTTCTAAATTTCTCCGCCATTTGTACCACTGTTTATTCTGAGTGCAAGGTGTCTTTGCCTTGCGTCATGTGAGAAACCCGTTTTCATGTAAAAGGTCATAGGACGCGCACTGCACTTTCTGGTGTAGCTCCTTGGAACTATGATTGCAGATAGCGCCATGAAGATTAACTAAACTCTTCTTGCAGGACAAACAAACTTCAAAGGAAGATGAGGATGTTTCCGTTCCATATGGGTCACCATGGCTTTTGCCGCAAGAAAGGCTTCCTGGCAACAACAGACCGTGGGCTGGAAGGGGATGAAGATCTCTGCGAAATCGGCACTTGTTTGTAATGGTTGGAGAATATTTCCGCCGGCTCTCCCCTTGGTTCGTGTAACAGCGCATGGACTTGTAGCCTGTGGGTTACCGCCCATTCCTTTGAAAGTGGATGACCCGCACCGTCAGTTTGAGTTTCACCTGACAGGCCTGGGTTTGGATCCCCCGGCCTTACGTCAGTATGCAGTGGGGGACCCTTGTTGCATTAACGGCTCGGATTGCCAACTTTTCGAATTGCCCCTCCTGTGGAAGGCAAAATGGCAAGGTTTGACCCCCTTGAGGGGATCCGGCGCCTTGCATCCGTATTGAGATTTGACATCTTGTGTATCCATTGTTCTAGGGATTTGCATCCATTATATCTAGGGAGGGTTTAGCCTGACTCTACTGAGCCAGTTGATAGGTCCACCACGTGGAGGAACCTACCTATAAGACTTATTACAGTGGGGTGCAACAACTTGGTACTCGAGTTTGTCACAAGTCCAAGGCTCTCCATCCCAAAGAACTCGGTGATGTATTGTTAGTCCGAGATACAGCACTAACAAAACCCATTCCCGTCTTGGTGCTCAGATTCCTTTTCAGTTCCAAGTTATTAGTAGGAAAATCAGTGATTCTCATTTCGCCATCAGTTTGGAGGCGTCACACTGTTCACCGTTACGGCTCAACTGTTGTTTCCCACAGCTTCCCATATATGGGTTGGGCAACATCTTAATGACGTACTGTCATTTCCAGCTTATAAGAAGGCTCTCTCATGTCAGCATGGCAAACCAACCCTTCTTTGCACGAGCGCAAGTTGGAGCGAGGTCACCCATCAGTTAGGAACAAGTCATTACTGATATGAAATTCAACTGCAAAGACAGTATGTTTCCCATATTGAGAGTACATATGGTATAACATTTGTGATATAGACCCTACTAAGGGACGACAACCATTCGTTTGTTGTCAATGAGTGAATACTCCATTGGTATAAAGAACAAAACGCAAGTGATTTTTAACATAGTTTATTAGCAGTAGATCTTTTCCGCTATGTAGTAGATACATCATGTTACTTTATGTGATTTTATTGACACGGAATATTTTTGTAATTATTGATGGACGTGTTATATATAAAATTTTCTTGAAATTTCTCCCAGAGTCTTATGTATACATTGTCTTGTTTTATATAGTAACTGTTTTACAATCTACATGGATGATTTCATTAAACCCAACCCTGTCGATGGATACTGTTGGTCATTAATCTTGTATGGAACAGAACTAAATATATATATATATATAAACCGCCACCAAACATCATAAATGTAGTGTTGCCACTAATGACATATAATTATTATATAGCCTCAAAAGGCAAAACCATATTCAATGAGGGGATGCATCGTTGCAAGAACGATAATATTAATGTATGGGGTGTTAAAACATTGGAACACAAAGCCAATTGGAGTATAAAACACTCGAAGCATATATCAAGTTAAAATACACTGTGGGTATTAATATCGGGTACTAACTATATACATACCGTATTTGACGTAATTTTGTTTGGCGCCCACGGCAATATTTTCTAATATATTGGCTAGTGAACAATCCCAATTAGCACCCCTTCTGATTGATCAATGTACACAGGACTAATTTATTCGTGTATAATATGTATGTTATATGCATTCATAATCATGGGAAATTAAATTCTGGAAAAAATATATCTATCGTATATAAACATTTCAGACTGTCAGCATAAACCACAAATTTACGATCTTTCAACCCTGTTGTTTTTCACCAAAGTAATATTCTAATAAGAGCCCCCTATTTCTAACTTTGAGAGCGCCCTGGGCGCTTATGTCGAATACGGTATGTGTTTACATGATTATGTCTACCTCCGCATGAGGTATGATGCACTCCCCAAAAGTAAAGAAAAATACAAAAATTGGTGTGTATACATCAATATACACACCGTGTAGTCCTACTGGCACATGACCACACTGTTCCTCACATGAAGGGAACATTAAATGGGAGGAAGAAAAAATAAAATTGTATACAAGTATTCTCAGATACTTATTGCTTAGTTATCCCCCGCCGCGCGAAAGCGCGAAGCGGGGGATATAGTATTCACGACCGTCCGTCCGTCTGTCCGTACGTCCGTCCGTACGTCCCACCTGTTTGTTGCCGCGATATCTCAAGAACTAAACACTGGATTGTCTTCATATTTGGAACTATGGTGTATATACAGACTCCGCAGACACCAGTCGGTTTTGGTGACCTTGACCCCATTTTCAAGGTCACAGCAGGCATATCTGCTTTTGGAGTTGGAAAACGGTGTTGCCGCGATATCTCAAGAACTAATCGCTGGATTGTCTTCATATTTGGAACTATAGTGTATATACAGACACTGCATACACCTGTCAGATTTGGTGACCTTGATCCCATTTTAAAGGTCACAGCAGGCAAATCTGCTTTTGGAGTTGGAAAACGGTGTTGCCACAATATCTCAAGAACTAATCGCTGGATTGTCTTCATATTTGGTAGTATGGTGTACAGGCGGGGGATATTTCGTCACTCTGTGACAAATACTTATTGTACTGATTATATTGCCAGAGAGCTGCCATCTCACTCGCCAAGATGTGTTTCAGGTGGATTGATCTGTTTTGTTATACGTTGATTAATGCCATATGTATAGTACTTATATATATATTTAGGTATAACGCAATATACCTTCTGCCTATCTACTCGCTGTAAGATAAACAGGGGCTACGCCCTATGCCATACAGAACCTTTTGGTAAAGCGGCAGAATTAAACCATATAATGGTTTATGCGTTGACCAGACGCTTACGCTTCATATCGGCTTATATTCGTGATATATTCCAACGTACCAAAGTGAAAACTGCTGTTTGAGCTCAGAACATGTCAATCTTATCTCTGTATAATTGATATCTATATCTCTGTATAATTGATATCTATAGATATCTTAGATTTGGCTGCCGTGCCAGCCGTGATTTATGTTAAATATCTCAATAAATGCATGTATATGCATATGATACAAATAGTTACCTAGCAACATTAAAAGCTTGCAATTATCTTTACAAGATAATCAAGTCACCAAGATCACTGTCTGTCTCATAAAGCCGTTACCACTCACGTGTCCCTGTTCAGTGCCAAGTAGGATTCCAATGTGATTATGCGGCGTTCACTTGGTTCAATCCGGGATTACTGTTTTCAACCTTCTTTACTGATCCATGAACAGTCGCAGTAGTCTTATGGAGTTGCACAGAGCCAGGAGACAAAAGTACTTAGCACTGTACCTTGGGATGCCAAGGACCTCGAGTACCTTGTAGCATCAGGGCAGCCAGCTACCTCTCGCTCTGAGAGGGAGGCCGTAGACCTCGCACCGTGACGCCCCCATTCTCTCTAGTACCGAGGGCAAAAGTGGCCGGTATTTTCTCTCCTTTTCCTTAGCCGCCGCAACTAAGGCCCCCTTATTTGGGTCCCATACGACCGTCACATCAACTACTACCGCCCTCATGTCTTTCACGCAGACTAGATCGGGCTTGAAATAGGCATCCCCCAGACAGTCTGGGTTCGCACCATACTGCCCAACCTTGCAGCTTGGCAGCAGTCGATACGGCGGTGCATATCTTGTCTTTTGATTCGGCTCAGTTTCACGAATCCAATGTCCGCTGATGTGACCCAACATCTCCGTATGAAATCCACACCACCTGCACCTCACATCTCCTGTCGCTAGTCTCCGATGCATCGCCTCCCTAGTGGGGTAGGTGTTGGTATGCAGCTTAATAGCCAGTGAGTACTCGGACTCTGAAAGGGTCACACCTTGTAACCACCAGTTGGCGGCTTTGTTGTCCCTTAGTAATCGTGCTCCTATCCCTTGGGCTGAATGGGCGTACCAGGCCATCCTTAGTTTGTTACGACACCAGTTTCGGACCTTTCGACCCTTGAGGTTTGTAGCACACGCAGGAAGCCCCCATTTATCTACCAGCCGTGTAAGGTGTCCCTTTGCATCAATCTCTTCACTGATTGTACACAACAGCAGATCTCCAGAGTTAATTACCCGGCTTTTCGACCGTACAATGCTACAGGGAACCATGTACCGCAGACATGGTAGGCCCAAACCTCCGTCTCTACGACTGGTGTAGAGAAAAGCTGACGCAACAGATGGGTGAAAATGGAGCCAATCGTTGACTTTCCTTTTCACTGTTGTCCAAGTGATTGAGCATCCCGCAAGCGGGCCCCACTGTCGCAAGAGTATTGGGGATGGGGAACTGCGTACTTGGTGAGGAGGCACTTTTTGGCGGGGTTTTAACAGCGCTCCGGATATACCTTTGCACCATTCGATCAGCAAATGGGCCCAGGTCTTCCCTGTGGTCCCTACCCACGGATCTACATGATCAATCCATGGGATTTCGCCTTCATCGAGTACCGCCGCCACTTCCGTGTTTTCCACGTGTACGTTTGTTTCCCGTCTTTGGGTGTGAGAGTGAAGCAGTATGACTTCCGCACATTTAGTTTCAGACCAGTATCCCGGCAAAATATCTCCACCAAGCCCAGGTTGGTTTGAAGTCCTTTCATGTCACCACTTGCAATACCAGTATCATCGGCGTACCCCATTGCCGTGACCTCCATCCCCGAATTCGTGCCTCTAGGAGACTGAATAAAGGATAAATTGCCAGATTGAACAGCAAAGGAGAGAGGGGATCCCCCTGCTTGACGCCTCTTTGGATCTGAATCAGAATCAGGGATGTTTGACCTTTAAGCATCGCAAACCGAGTACTAGCACTGGTGTAGAGATCTTCTACTATACTTAGCAGATGATTATGCGCTCCATGTCTCACCAGCCTGTCCCTCACGTGTGAATGCGACACCGTATCAAATGCTTTGGACAGATCTAGAAGGGCCACGGACAGTACTCTTCCTTTCTTTTTCGCATGTTCATGTCTAGGATGCAGTGTGACTGCTGCTAGCGAGGACCTTCGTGTATAGCCTTACTACGACTGACGCAATGTCGAGTGGACGCCAGTTGCCTATGTTATTCGGCTCACCCCCTTTCGGCAGTAGTATGCTCCTATTCCGCTAGAGTTCGTTTGGGATGGTTCCGGACAACAAAAAGCAGTTGCATAATGTCGCCATTTCCCCCCCACCCCATCCCCACACACACTGATCGGTCAAGTTTCTTTAGAGCATCCAATCGTATACCGTCCGGTCCTGCTGCAGTAACAGCCTTCATCTTCGACATTGCGGAAAGCATTTCCCTCAGCTCAATCAGCTTCAATATGTCAGTTGTCAATCAACTTTCTGGTAACGGGTAATCGGTAAGGTCTACCTCGATGGAGCTACCCTCGAATCTCTTTGTCAGCAGCTTCTATCTCTCCAATGGTTACTGGACATGCAGTATCCAGCTTCCCATCGAGGATTTCCGCCACCAACCTTGATCGATCAAACGCCCAGAGTTGTTGCACCCTTCTATACTCCACCGCTTTTCCCCCCGAGATCGGCCCCGCATGGTTTACCTATGCCCGATGTTTTGTCTTTTCTTCCTTTGTTTTTCCGCCCTGTTCGTCATTCGACCTAGCTGAACAAGCATGTCATCATAATCCCCAACAGAGGTATGGCCATCCAAACAGTTGTGCAGCAGAGCTACAGCGCGGTTGCCATGTGGTTTATCAGACATCGTGTCTTTAACCTTCTCATAGTAAATCCGTAATTGCTCCCTTCTTTGATCTTCAGTTATCTCTCTTGGAGTTTCCTCGATCTATCCTTTGCCCACTAGGGGTTCTGGCGAACTATCCATGACTAGGCTGAAATCACCAACCGTGAATGCACTCCTTTTCCTCGCTCTGTCCAGTCGTGATTCTGCTCTTCCTTAAAGATGCACGTTTACTACTTATCTGTTTAGCTGTTCTACCATGGAGTTTTCTGGCAATCAGGGTATTGATCTGTTTACACCCTTGGTAGACTTGCTCATACTTGTCTAGAATCATGACTTCGCAACTTGTCCATTTTTGCTTCCACGGGTCGGCCTCCTGACGAAATCGTTTCCGCCTCAATTTCTCCGCCATTCTGCCTTCCTGCCGCTGCTTGTTCCTAAGCGCAGGGTGTCTATGCCTTGTGTGTTGTGAGAGACCCATTTTCGTGTAAAAGGTCATAGGACACACACTGCACTTATGCTCCCCAATCCTCCTTTCGGGCTTAGGTCCTTTGCACTTACTGTGATAGCATATTGTGCCATGAAGAGTGGCAAATGTCTTCTTCTTACAGGACCTACATGTGAACTTCACTGGAAGACTGGGGTGCCTGCGCTCCATGTGAGTCGTCATGGCTTTTGCGGCAAGAAAGGCTTCCTGGCAACAGACCGTGGGCTGGAAGGGGATAAGGATTTCTGAAAAATCGTCACTTATTTGCAATGGTTGGAGAATATTTCCGCCAGCCCTTCCCTCGGATCTTGATACAGTGTGTGGACTTGTAGCCGGCGGGTTCACATCCATTCCTCCGATAGCGGCATGACCCGTACCATCACTCTGAACTTCCCCCGACTGGCCTGGGTTTGGGCCCCCCGGCCTTGCGTAAGAGTGCAACGGGGACCCTTGTTGCAAATGACGGCTCAGATAGCCAATTTTTCGAATTGCCCCTCCGACTGAGGACAAAACGGCAATGTTTGACCCCGTCGCGGGGATCCGGCACCTTGCATCCATATTGAGATTAGATATTGGTGTATCGATCATTGGGTTTTGGATTTTTATCCATTAAATCTAGGGAGGGTTTAGCCTGACTCTTGCGAGCCAGTTGATAGCTCCACCCCGCAGAGGTACCTCCCAGCAGGACGAGCAACGGCAGAGCACCCAAGTTAGTCAGGGTTACCAAGGCTTTTCACCCAAAGAACTCGGTAATGTCCGGTTGATCCTAGAAACAGCACTAACAAAATCCATTCCTCGCCGTATACCTCGCACTGTGATGCCCCCATTCTCTCTAGTACTCTCTAGCACATGCGGCGGCTAAGGAAAAGGAGAGAAAATATTTGCCACAACTAAGGCCCCCTTATTTGGGTCCCATACGACTGTCACATCAACTACTACCGCCTTGCCGTCTTTCACGAAGACTAGATTGGGCTTGAAATAGGCATCCATAGGGTTCGCACAATACTGCCCAACCTTTGAGCTTGGCAGCAGTCGATACGGCGGTGCATATCTTGTGTCTTTTGATTCGGCTCCGTTTGACAAATCCAAAGTGTCCACTGTTGTGACCCAGCATTTCAGTGTGAAAACCGCACCACCTGCACTTCACATCTCCTGTCACTCGTCCCGATGCATCGCCTCCCTAGTGGGGTAGGTGTTGGTATGCAGCTTAATAGCCAGTGAGTAATCGGACTCTGAAAGGGTCTCACCTTGTAACCACCAGTTGGTGGCTTTGTTGTCCCTTAGTAATCGTGCTCCTAGCCCTTCGGCTGAATGGGCGTACCAGGCCATCCTGTTTGTTACGACACCAGTTTCGGACCTTTCGGCCCTTTTGACCCTTGAGGTTTGTAGCACACTCAGGAAGCCCCCATTTATCTACCAGCCATTTGAGGCACACCTCAGCATTTATCTCTTCACTGATTGTACGCAACAACAGATCTTTGGAGTAAGTAACCCGACTTTTCGATTGAACAATGCTTCAAGGAACCATGTATAGAAGACATGGGAGGCCTGACCTATTGGCCGCCATTCGGTCAAAAAATACAAAGTTGAAAAAAGGATGAAAGTACGCAATTAAGGTGAAGTATTACGAATAAAGAACTAAATGTTACTACTAAAGGTCAAAATACAAAACAAACAGACGAGGGTTAAACATACAATTCCAAGACGAGTTTTGCAGTACTGTGCAGATACTTAGCGCGGCATCGTCCCCAGGTGTGATATCTACTTCAAGAGGCGGCCGGACTTAAAGCCAGAAACTGGGCCCGCGAAGGCCCCGTCTCCCGCTTCACTGAATAAGTAAAGAAACGATGAAAGTAGTGGTATTTCAATTGCGTACATTGCTGCACTCCCACCTATGCTACACCTTTCATGTCGCTTCACAATGCCTAACTGAAGTCAAGCTCAACAGGGTCTTCTTTCCCCGCCGAGGATTCCAAGCCCGTTCCCTTGGCTGTGGTTTCGCTAGATAGTAGATAGGGACAGTGGGAATCTCGTTAATCCATTCATGCGCGTCACTAATTAGATGACGAGGCATTTGGCTATTAGTAGAAGAATCAGCGATGATTCTTATTTCGCCATCAGATTGGAGGCGTCACACCGTTCACCGTTACAGCTCAACTGTTGATCCCCACAGCTTCCCTATCCGGGTTGGATAGCCTCTGATGACTTCTGTCATTTCCAACTTATGAGAAGGTTCCCTCTTATCGGCACGGCAAACCGACCCTTCTCTGCACAAGTGCAAGCTGGAGCGAGGTTCTCCATTAGTTGTGACTAAGTCATTCCTAATATGAAGTTAACTGCCACGACAGTATGTTTCCCATATTGAGAGGACATATGGTATAACATTAAAAGATAGAGGTCCTACTAAGGGACGACATCCCTCGTGTGATGTCAATGAGTGAATACTCTGATCATCGCCTAATGTCAGATTACCCCGACAGGCATAAATGTTATTGACTAGCTGTGATCTGGAACCTGCTCCATTGGTAGAAAAGACATAACACTAATGAAGTTTAAATTATTAACTATTTATTGTAATTGTAATTAACCCGTCACCAAGTGAACATAATTGTTTTTGTTATAGTGTTTAATTACATGTATTGTCTTGTCTATTTACAACAATAGTTAACGTTTTAGGAAACCCATACCTCTTCTATTATGAATACTTTAGTGTAATGACTTCTTATTATGATCAAAACACCTTAACCAGAACCTTCACCTAACT